CATTTATGGAGTGGGCCTTCTTTGCCCTGTTGTATGTTCTTGCTGTCTCTGTCATAGGTTGATTGACCATATGTGTGGGTTTATTTCTTGGCTCTCTACTTGGTTCCATTGATCTAGGTTTCTGTTTTTTATGCTGTTTTGATTACTATAGCTTTCTAGGATGATTTGGTAACAAGTTGTGTGATACTGTCCGCTTTGTTCTTCTTTTTCAAGATTTTTCACTATTCAGGGTCTTTTGTGTTTCCATACAAATTTTTGGGTCATTTGTTCTACTTCTGTTAAAAATGCCATAGGCATTTTGATACAAGTTGCTTTGGGTAGTATGAACATTTTAATGATTTTAATTCTTTCTATCCATGAACATGGTATATGTTTCCATTTATTAGTATTTTCTTAATTTTTTTCTTCAATGTCTTATAATTTGCTGAGTGCAGGTCTCTTATCTCCTTGGTTAAATTTATATCTAGATAGTTTCTTTTATTTTTAGTGCAATTGTTTTCTTAGTTTCACTTTTGGTAGGATTGTCTCCTTAGTTTCACTTTCTGATTATTACTGGTATATAAAAATGCAACCAATTTCTGAATATTTATTTTGTATCTTGCTGCTTTACTGAATTCATCTATCTGTTATAGCAGTTTTTTATGGAATCATTAGGGTTCTCTATATATACTGCCATGCCATTTACAAATAATGACCATATGACAGTTTTACATCTTCCTTCCCAATTTGGATGAATTGTATTTCTTTTTCTTGTCTGATTGCTGTGGCGATGACTTCCAGTACTATGTTGAATAATAGCAGTGAAAGTGGACATCCTTGTCTTGTTTCCGATCTTAAGGGAAATGCTTTTAGTTTTTCCCCTTTGACTATGATGTTGGGTGTGGGTTGGTCATTTATGGCTTTTATTAATAGAGGTATGTTCCCTCTATTCCCACTTTGTTGAGAGTTTTTATCATAAATTGGTACTGGATTTTATTACATGTTTTTCTGCATCTATTGATATGATCATGTGGTTTTTATCCTTCATTTTTTTAATGGTGTATCATGTTAATTGATTTGTGAATGTGAACTATTCTTGTATCCTATGAATAAATCCCACTTGTTCATGGTGTGTGATTTTTTTATTATATTTTTATTTTATTTATTTTTAGAGAGAGAGGAGGGAAGGAGAAAGAGAGAAAGAGAACATCGACTGGTTGCCTCTCACATACCTCTACTAGAGACCAGGCCTGTAACCCAGGCATGTGCCCTGAACTGGGAATTGAACCAGCAACCTTTCAGTTGGTAAGCTGACACTCAATGTACTGAAAGGGCATGATCTTTTTAATGTATTGCTGAATTTGGTTTGCTAATATTTTGTAGTCGATTTTAGCATTTATTTTCATCAGGGATATAGGCTTATAATTTTCTTTGTAATGTTTTTATCTGGTTTTGGAATTAGGATAATGATTGCCTCACAAAATGAGCTTGGGAGTCTTCCCTCCTTTTGAATTTTTTGGAATAGTTTGAGAAGGACAGGTGTTAGTTCGTCTTTGAGTGTTTGATAAGATTCACCTGTGAAGCCATTTGGTCCCAGACTTTTGTTTGTTGGGAGCTTTTTAGAATTACTGCTTCCATTTCATTGGATGTAATCAATCTGTTCAGATATTCTGATTCTTCTTGATTCAGTCTTAGGGGCTTGCCTGCTACAGAAACTTATTCAATTTTTTCAGATTGTCCAATTTGTTGGCATATAATTGTTTGTAGTATATCATTATAATATATCGCATTTCTCCAGTGTCAGTTGTTAAGTTTCCTCTTTCCTTTCTGATTTTATTTACTTGGATCCTCCCTTTTTCTTGATGAATCTGGTTAAAGGCTTATCAATCTTGCATATCTTTTCAGAGAAACAGGTTTTGGTTTTGTTGAACTTTTGTAATTTTTAAAAAATTGTTTTTAAGATTCTATGTTATTTATTTCTGCTCTGATATTATTTTTTTCCCTTCTACTCATTTGGACTTGGTTTGTTGTCCTTTTTCTAGTTCCTTTAAGTGAAGTTTAAATTCTTAATTTGAGATTTTTCTTGTTTCTTGAGGTAGTCCTGAATTGCTATGAATTTCCCTTAGAGTTGCCTTCACTATGTCCCATAGATCTTTGGTTATTGTGTTCTCATTTTCATTTGTCTCAAGGTATCCTTTGATTTCTTCCTTGATCTCATTGTTAACCCATTTGTTGCTTAGCTATCATGTTATTTACCTTCCATGTGTTTGGGTGGTTTTCAGTTTTTTTATAATTGACTTCTAGTTTCATACATTGTGGTCAGAGAAGATGCTTGAAATGATTTCAGTCATCTTACATTCATTGAGGTTTGTTTTATGAACTGACCTGTGGTCTCTCCTGGGAAATGTTTTATGTGCACTTTAAAAAAAGTGGATATCCTACAGTTTTAGGGTGTAATGCTCTGAAAACATCAATTAAATCCATCTGGTCTAATGTGTCACATAAGACTGCTGTTTTCTTGTTGACTTGTTGTCTGGAAGATCTATCCATTGATGTCAGTGGGGTATTAAAATTTCCTACTATGATTGTATTACTGTTGATCTCTCCCTTTATAGCCACCAATATTTGCTGCATATATTTAGGTGCTCCTATGTGGGGTGCATAAGTGTTTACAAGGGTTATTTTGTTTGCCTGGCTATGCATGAGGTTTTCTAGTTCATATCCTTTGGTTCCATTTTAGATTGAAATCCTATCACACTGCATTTGCCCCCAGAGAAGTTGGGACAGTACCCGATTTTATGGGTAGGGTTGGGGGGGCAAAATAGGATTCAGAAATGGGAAAGGATGAAGCAGCTTCTTCCCCAAGAAAATCAAGAAGCCCTCTTCTGGGGGCAGGGGCTTCGACCCCAGTGCCAAGGGTGAGGTGGGTGCGGTGGGTGAGGTGGGTGTGGTGGGTGTGACAGTGGGGGGTGAGAAGGCCGAAGCCTGGGGGAGGCAGCAAGCAGGCTGCTCCTCTGGATGACACATGAACTGCATGGCAGGGGCCTTAGGGAGAGGCCTGAGAATGGTGACAGACACCACATTCTGGGCCCCAGAAGAAGCCCCAAATTGCCAGAAGAGAACAAATTGGTAAATTGGACTTCATTAAAATTAAGACCATCTGCTCTGTAAAAGGCACTGTTAAGAAAATGAAAAGAAAGCCATAGACTAGGAGAAATATTTGCAAAACAGTTATCTGATAGAGGACTGGTAACCAAAATATACAAAGTAAAGTTTAATATCAAGAAAACAAACAACCCAATGTAAAAATGGGCAAAAGATTTGAATAGACACCTCACCAAAGAAGATATACACATGGGAAATCAACACATGAAAAGATGCTCAACATCACAGTCATTGGCGAATTGAAATTAAAGCAACGAGATATCACTACGCGCTCATTATAATGGATAAAACCCAAAACACTGACAAGGCAGCTCCAAATGCTGATGGAGGTGTGAGGCCACAGGAACTCTCATCCTTTTGGTGAGAACGAGAAAGCACACAGCCGCTTTGGAAGGCAGTCCGGCATTTGGAAAAAAAATTACATAATACAATGGAGTAATTGTGCTTTTTGGTATTTATTAACATGTGTTGGAAATACATATCCATATAAAAAATAGCACATGAATGTTTATAGCAATTTTATTCATAATTGCCAAAAATTGGCATTCACCAGGGTGTCCTTCAGTAGGTGAAGAAATAAACAAATTGAGTTGCATCAGTACAGTGCATATTACTCAGCAGCAGAAAGACATGCGCTATGAAGCCACGGAAAGACGTGGAGGGGCCCTACATGCATATCGCCACGTGGAAGAAGTCCGTCGGGAAAGGCTCCGTACTGGATGGTTCCAACTGTGTTTCTGGAAAATGTACAACAATGGAGGCAGTAAAAAGATCAGTTTCCATTCTAATTAAGAAAATAATGGTTTTCCCCAGGAGTCTGACAATGAGGGGTGTGTGTGTGTATTTTAAAAAGTAAACTCTAGACTTTATTGAAACTTCACCAGTCTCCCCATTAATATTCTCTTTCTGTGTGAGAGCCAATCCTGGGTACCGTATTGCATTTAGTTTTCAGGTTTCCTCACTCATCTTCGGTAGTTCCTTTTTTTTCACAAGGTGGACTGTCTAGTGGACGACAGGTCGGATTATCCTGTAGAATGTCCCACAGACTGGGTTACCTGATGTTTTCTTGAAGATTTGATGTGGGTTAGGGGGTTTTAGAAAAACATCAGAAGTGAGGTGCTCTTCTCATGTAATTTTGCTTTCATCCAGTGTGAGACTTGCTGAGTCTATTGAACCTATGAATTCATGTGCTTCTTCAATTTTGGGCAGTTGAATGTCAAGAGTAAATACTGTGCCCAGGCCCAGGCCCTAGGAGACGCCACATGCCTCTGCTTACCAGTCTTGGGCTCACATACTGGCCCCAGGTGCCCGAGAGCAGACCTGAATCCAGCCTGCTGCTCGGAACCAAGCCACTCTTAGCCCAGCCTACATCAAGGGATCTCTAGATGTCCTACAGATGCAGGAGCAAGAATAAATAATCACAGTCTACACCACAGAGCATGACGTGTGCTTTACTGTTTGCAGTAGTTAGCTGGTGCAGAGCTGGAGCAGCCACGGTCCCTTCTTCCTCCCTCCCCAGCAGCTAGCTGTGTTCGGAGCCTGGTGCTCATGCGCTCTCCCAAGGCGCAGGGGTCCCCCCTCGCCCCTTTGCCTCCTCTTTTCTCCCTCCCTGTGATCCAGGTCTAAAAACTGCCCAGATCCAGAGTGCCCGCTTTGAGCTCACCTCCCTCCCTCTGGAACAGTGTCAGGGAAAATTTAAGTACAAATATATTTTCTATAGAGAGGAAAATTGCAAAAAGATTAAAAGAGAATAATCTCCCACGAATTTCATTTCTGCTATATGTGAAATGATTTATATGAACTGTTCAAGTAGCAGTTAATTGTCATGCAGCAAAATAACTCTAGGTCATTAAATACAAGATTAATAAGTTTTATTTAACAATAATATTACATTTCATTCATTCTTCTTAGATGCCCATTGCTTACAAAGTAAAATAATCTATTCACACAATAAAAAACGTTGAAGGTATAAGGCCGATCACTCTCTGGAGCCTGGCCGGGGCAGGGCAGACATGGCGACACCAGGTAGGAGGTGGCCCTGTTCACTCCCCTCAAGGTAGGAATTCTCTGGACTGGGGTTTCAGGGGCTCCCACAGGCCCAGAACCTTTGGAGCAGGATGGAGCAGGAGGAGAAGAAGGAGGGGCTCTGTGCGGGATACAGTAGTCAACTTCCCCGGTTCCCTTCCCCACCAGTTCAAATCCTGGCCCCAAGCCCTGCCCTCCACCCTATGGCCCCAGCCCAGGCTCACTTCAGACTCCTCTCACCTGGCAGTTGTCCACCGTTGCTCTCATGTTCTAGCCCCCAGTCCCCAAGTCAGGCCAAAGCCTGCAGTGCCAGCCATGCCACCCTCTACTCCCCTGGGATCTTGCCCATGCACCAGAAAGGTGCCAGTGAACTCGGGGATGCAAGATTCTGCACACCATGTGCACCAGCCCAAGGGTGGAGGGGGAGGTGGGGGCACGGGGGCCAACCTGAGAGAGAAGGAGGTAAAGGCCGGGTGTCTGAGCAACCCTCCCATCACCCTGACACAGGCAGTTCCTCCTGCAGAGGAAGAGCTAATCGCTCCTCAGTGCTCAGTCTTGGTGAGCTGGAAAAGAGCAAATGGAGAGCCCCCCAGAGGCCATGAGAGCCCCCCAGGACCAGAAGGGGAGCCAGTGTTTCGAAAGCAAGGCTGCTGACCTTTCCTGAGCACCCGCTCTGCGCTAGCCGTGGGCCAGGCACTTTGCCATTCCTCTGCAGCCCTTTGAAGAGGCCTGAGTCCCCCTCATCTTAGTGCTGAGGGAAGGGAGGCTCAAAGAAGCTAATTAACTTCCTTCTGGTCGTTTAGCTAGAAGGTAACTGAGCTGCAACTGAATCTAGCCTGTCCTTATCTCCCCAGGACCTCAGATCCAGAAAGGGACTCCAGAGAGAACCTGACCAGGTCCTGACAATGGACAAAGTATTAGTGCTGTTTTTCAGAACCCGGGGACCGAGAGAGGTGGGGGGTACCGAAGGGCAGGGATGAAAAGTCTCATCCTTGCGTCCAAAGCAGAGGAGCCTGAACCCCAGACAAAGGGTTTCCTAAGTCTTTGACAGAGGAAGGGGTGGGCCCGGCCACAGGTCAGGAGGAGAGGCCTACACCACGCCCAGAGCTCGGGAGCCTCCGATCTTCCTTCCTGAAAGGACACTTGACTATGTCAGCGGCCGGGGCCTTCAGAGGTCGGCTCTCCTTTCTGCCTCGAGGAACCTGAGAGGCGGCGTGGCCAAACTCCTCTCTCCCCAAAGCCCATTTCTGTCCCAAAGAGAAGACCGAGGCCCCAGAAACCGCCGGGCCCCGGGGCTCTGCCCCCTGCCCAGTGTGGAGCCCACAGCAGGACGCTGGCCCCCATGGGCCATTTGGTTCTCCACAAGGAGCAAGACCCTCACAGCCCACCATCTGGGAGAGGCTCAGAAGAGGCTGCTTCGGGCTTTCTGTCCAGGCCGGCACGGGGTCTTGCTAGGGTAGAGCTCCACTGAAAGTCATGATGGGCAGGCAGAGGAGGGAGCAGAGGTCCGACGTGGCCTGGGCGGCGGGGTGGGGGGGCCGCTGGGGTTGTGGGCAGAGGCTGCTCTTCTCTGGCTTGTAGCAAGGTGAGACCTCGCACCTGGGAGGCAGGGCAGGAATAAGAACAGGCCTCCCGTCCCTCCGGCAACTTCTAGGCCTCCGGGTGGGAATATTCGGAACTGACCCCTGCCCCAGACTCCATTTGGCTGAAGCGGATCGAGGGCCCCCTTTCCTACCTGACCACACTCTGCAGGATCTTCCTTTCATCCTGGTCCAGACACACTGCAAAGGGGCAGCCGTTGGAGCCAATAATCTGCACCTTGTCCACTTTGACCTGCGATGTGCTGATCTGGAAGGAAGGCCCAGGTCAGTCCCCAGAGCCCCGGCCACAGACATCCCAGCCCTGGCAGTTGCTTCCCCTGGAACTGCCCAGTCAGCTGCGGTGGAGGTGGCCCACAGCTAAGGGCCAGCTCTGGGGGGGCGGTTCTGAGGACGCCATGAGGTCCTGGCTCCTCTCCGTCCTCTGCCCTTCCCTGAGTCTGGAAGAAGCAAGTGCCCCTGAGGAGAAACTGCACTGCCCTCTGCCCTCCCTGCCGCAGCCCCGGAGCCCCGTCTCCACCCGCCCTGCCTCGGACTCAGGGCAGAGCTTTGCCACATACACATTTTCTCACGAAGGCACCCTTCCTCCTGACACCACATGGCCCTCCACATGTGTGCACACCCCTAAACCACACCCTCTCCTTGCTTCTCCTCCCCTCTCGGCCCCCCATACCTTGTAGACGCCCCTCCTCTCTCACGCACACGCCCAGGCACGCATATGCACGCACACATGTCCAGTAAGTCTCCTGAGGGTGTGGCTTCACAGAGACCGAAGCCCTTACCTGGTTGAAGCCCTTCTTGGACTTGGGATTTTGCCTTTTCACCACTTCTGTCAGGTTTAGCGTCAGGGCCTCCATGCCGGCGTCTGAGGGGCAGGGCGGCTCAGGCCAGGCTCGGACGCCCTCCCTGCCACCGCCCCTGTGCCCTCCCTGCCCACCCGACTCACCCAGTTCCTCCAGCTTCCGGCAGGCCTTGTTGAGGTTGATGGAGGTGCAGACCTTCTCCATGTTATTCCAGCGACTTCGTCCACTGACAGCCCCCTGGACAGGCAGCAAAGCCAGACCCTCTCTCAGCTTGGAAGCCCTGCTGCTTGCTACCTTCCCTTCACAGAGGGGGTCCCAGACCACCGGGCACAGGGAGCTGCCTGCCGCCAGCACAGCCGGGAAGTGCTCCCTCATTCACCCAGGTCTGCCAGCTTCTTCACAAAGAGCCCCTGACCCCTGTACAGACCTCAGTGACTCTGAGCTCATAGGACACGAGAGCTGAGGGCACCTCAAGGGGGTCTTGACAATCTGCCGAGCCCAGAGCAAGGAAGAGAGGGCCCCACAGTCCCAGAGTCCCTGGCAGAGCCAGCCTGGAGGCCCTCTTTCAGTGGGGACCCCCATGTTGCCAAACCTAAGAGCATTTCTCAGTCCTTGGTCAGTGTCAAGTTGAGTGTACTTGACCTTACAGGAGAATTTGGGTCTGTTCCTCGGCTCCTCTCCTGGGCTTTTGTGGGGGCACACTCCTGATTCTCCACCACATTTTTGGCCGGGACCTCTGCTCGGCATGACACCCTCCTCTGCCGGGGTCACATGACACCGGCCTCAGGACCCTCTCCTGGGTCCTCTGCTCCTGCAGGCCTGCCTCTCCGTAGGGAACCCTGGCCACCCACGTACCCATCTCTGTGTTCCACGTCTGAGTTTAGGCCCGTCCGTCCAACGCCTGTGCTGACTTCTTCCTCCTACCTTTCCAGGGCACTTCAGACTCAACATGGCCCACCTGCCCAACTGCCCCTCCCAGATGCTGGCCGCGTTTGAGGAGGTGGGGCGGTCAGTCACCGAAGACTGAAATCCAGCCCATTCCTAAACCCTGCTGCTCCCATAATCCACATACATTTCCTCCACCGCCGCCGCCGCCACCACCACCGGCCCTGTGCTGGTTGCCTGCCTTGCTCTCCTGGAAAATGCCAGAGCCTCCCATGGGCCTTGCCAGGGCCCCGTGGCGCCTCCAGTCTGGTCTCCACCGAGCTGCCAGAGGGAGCGTCCGAACCTCACATCACGTCACCTGTCACACACACTCCCGCACTGCCCCAAACGGGGCCCCTCGAAGGGGGCCCACTGCTCTTAGGATAGGACAAGACTCTCACTGGAATCAAGGCCCATGGCATCTGGCCCCGCCTATCCCTTTAGCCTTACCTTTTTTTTTTTTTTTAAGATTGTATTTATTTATTTTCAGATTGTGGGAAGAGGGGAAAGGAGGGAGAAAGAAAGGGAGAGAAACATCAGTGTGAGAGATAAACATCAATCAGATGCCACTAACATGTGTCCACAGCAGGGACCAAACCTGCAACACAGGCACGTGCCCTGACCAAGAATTGAACCAGTGACCTTTCGCTTCGTGGGACGACACTCAACCAACTGAGTCACACCGGTCAGGGCTCACGTCATCACCTTTAGTGTTCATGTTCTCTTCCACTTGGGGCCTTTGAACATATTCTTCCCTCTATCTGGAGAATACACCCGTCTCTTTCAGCTTCACTGACTCCAGTTTTCTTGCCAACTTTGGCACAAAGGCCCTTCCCCAGGAAGCGTTGTCTAACTTTCCCGACTGGGTTGAATAATCCCCTTGGAGGTAGTCACCGTACCACGTGCCTTACCTTCAGCTGGTGGCCACAGCTGTACTCACACATCTGCAGGTTCGTCTAACCAGTGCCTACCACCCCCTCTAAGCTGTAAATATTTTGTGCACCCTTCAGAACATGCCCGTGTCTAGAACAACGTCTGGGACACAGCAGGTGTGTAACCAACACCTGGCACAGAGCTCTCGGGGGTGCGTCCCTCTCCCCCATCCCCGTGGCTGCCAAGGGGAAAGCAGCTCCGTCGTCACCACCCCATCAGCCCCTCTGGGGCCTCATCCTCACTGTCCACCCTGACAGTGTCGTGGCCGTGCACCTGTCTCCTTGTTTCTTGTCTGCCTCCCTCCTCTAAAGAGCCCCAGGGAGGACCCGGCCCTCCCAGCTCACTGCGTTTCCCCCGCCCAGCTCGGAGCCTGGCAGGAGGGGATGCTAAATGAATGTCTTTTGAATGGTTGAGGGGGGAAGAAAACAAAGAAGGCAGGAGGGCTCCCCACTGGTGAGTCCAGCCTCCCGTGGCCTGTATCCCATGGTGTGATGCGCTCGGAGACACTTATCCTCTGGTGATATGGGCACCCCCGTCTCCAAAATCCCTTCATTCCCTTCACAGCAATCCCACCTCCCAGGCCCGCAGCCAGGCCCCCTGCCTCAGCCCAGGCCTGTGCCTTGCTGTGCCTCAGAGGCCCCGCCTGCCCTGCTTTCAGCTCTAGTCCTACAGCCAGGCCCTGGTTGCCAGACCCGCTTGCCTGGTTCTGCAGCCCTGAGCAGCTTAAACACTGGGGCCCACGGACCTCAGAGTCTGGCTCTGGGTGAGGAGGGTCAGGAGTCCCAGGGGTCAGGGTCAGCTGGAGGGGCTGGGAGGGTCCCAGAGGGGCATGGGGCCTTACCTTGCTGTAAATAATCTGTAGTGTTAAAGGGACAGCCTCCCGGTCCCCATCAATGCCCAGCCTCTTGCTGCCAGGACCTGTGCCATGCAGACAGGGACTTTACTGGGTGCCATACCCAGGGCTCCGCCTCCCCTCCCCCAACCCCACTCCTGCCTCTGGCCCTGCTTTCGGTGACCCTGACTCTCCAGGGTCATACTTCCCCAGGACTCCAGCCCTTTATGAAGCTGCCCTTCTCCCCAGGGCTCCACCACTGGGGGCCCCACCTTTCTAGCCCCCCATCTGTCTCCACCAGGACTGTGGCAGCACTCACCCGAAGCCTTGATGGCTCGTGTGGCAGCAGAGTGACCCAGCTCCAGGGAATGAATGAAGATCTCTGTTGTCTTCTCCCCAGTGATGAAGGTCAGCTGGAGAGGGCAAGACCAGAGCGTCAGTGCAGACCCTGTGTGGGGACTCCCCACCCCGGCTTCTCCAGAACAGGGCTGGGGCTGCCACAGGGTGGGGACAGGGCCTGCAGGCCCACAGGCACAGGCAGGGCCAGGACGCCTGCCGGGGAGCCCAAGGGGAAAGGAGGCCTGGGGCGGCTGGGCAGCTCACCTCCGTCTGGTAGACCTGCAGCAGCACCGGCCGAGCAGCAAAGCGGCAATAATACAGCAGCATGTCGGCCAGGATGGGCAGCTGGGTGGGGGAGCCCTCCAGAGGCCGGGAGTCGGCTCTCAGGGACTGCTGTGTGGGGGGAGCCCAGGTCAGAGGGACAGGGGACGGGGACAGGGAGGGGACGGGAACATGAGAAGGAGAGATGCAGAGGAACACACACACACACACACACACACACACACACACACACACACAGAAGAGAGACACACAGGCAGTGGGCCCGAGCAGGGGGCAGGGAGAGGAAAGCGAGAGGCAGAAAGGTCAGGGGAGGACCCACAGCCCAGTCTCCATCCCTTCCCCTACCTGGCATGTGGGCCTCTGGGAAGGCCCTGTGTAGAGCTGGACAAAGCTGATTTGAGGACGGGGCCTAAAGCCTGAGGTCCCCTGGATCTTTCTGAGGACCCTCCCTGTCACGGTGGTGACTCTAGCCCTTGATCCCCTCCTCACCCCTGTGCCCCGGGTTCTGCTTCAGTCCTGCTTCTCCCCTATTCTCCCTGTTCACCTCCAAGTGCTCCCTGGCCCTCCATGGAGCGCTCAAACTAGACCTTCCCAAAGCAGAGCCTTCTAAGCGAGGCTGAGTGACTACAGCCAGTGGGCGTTCTCTGCCCACTCCGGGGGCCACGTACCTGGCACAGGACTTCAGGGGGCAGGTGCATGAGGCCCAGCACGTTGCGCTCATACCAGGGGTCGAGCATGCCGAGGTAGTGAGAGATATCGTTGGTGCTCTCCTCCCAGGGGGCTGCGCCCAGCTCCTGAGACAGGGGTGAGATCAGCCTCAGGTTCCCAGGGAGACAGGAGGCCTTCCGTTGCAGCTCCAGAGCCCTGGGCAGCCCCAGTCTGAGCTTCTCCCTGCCCTCGGACCAGTCTGACACATTTCGGTCTGTGTCATGCAGCCGATTGCCACCCCCAAGTGCAGGGGAGGACCACTCCTGGGAGCCAGGGCCAGGCAGGGGGAGGTGCCCCGCACACTCAAGTGATCGCTTTTGATGACTCCCAACCAGCCCTGTCAGGTCGCTGGAACCTGCTTGCGTCTACTCTGCTTTCCCGCCCCATCTGGTCTCGGGCTGGGGACATACTGTCGGGATGGGGTGCCTCGGGGAGTCTGGGGGGAGTGGGGGTGTCTGACTCGGAGGGGCCGGGCAGGTGCTGGAGCTGGGCCCCCGGCTTCGCTTCACGGGCACATAGAAGAACTGAAGCTTGAAGAACCGTGTGAGGAGTGGGCGATTGTTCTCCAGCCGCCTGGAAACGAGACAATGACGAGAAGGAGCTCCTTGGTCTCTGTTGGCTAAACCTCAAGCCTCCGACACCACCGGCACCGGCGCCGCCGCCCCGTCCCAAGGCAGTGACGCTCCCCTATTCCCACTCTTACCGCAGGTTGCTATACGCTCGAGCTACCTTCCCTGAAATCCGGTCGGAGCCGAAGACCACAACGCGCAGCGTGGAAGCCTTGGGGTCCTCGTCCCCACTCAGGAAGGGGCGGCGGCGCTGACGCCGGGAGGCGGGGGCCAGGAGCCAGCTGGGCAGCTGGGTGCTGAGCTTAGGCTGGGGCAGGGAGCGGGAGCGCTGAGCCCGGGTGGGGGGCGGCTCCGGGCTGCCCAGGGGGCTGCAGAGGCTCCCAGCCCGCCGCAGGGGCAGCGCCGAGTCCGAGCTGCCCTCCATGCCCCGGGAGTCCCTTCGTAGCACCAGCTGGCTGGTGCTCTTGAAGAGTTTGTAGATCCTGTTGAACTTCTGCCCTGGCCTGCGGTAGCCCCGCCGTTCCCGACTGCCAGGCCTCTTGGACCACTCAGGGGAGCTCTCTTCGCTGTCCTCCACGTAGCCACTGTCCATGCCATCCGAGAGGCCAGAGACAAAGGAGGTCAGCAGCTGGCGGGGCAGGGTGGCCCCCAAGGCCTGGTACGAGGCAAGGGACAGGGTGGAGTCACGGGACGTCTCCGAGCTGGTAGAAAGCAGTGAGTCCCTCTTGGCACACTGTCCATCTGTTTCCAAGTCCTCTTCCTCCTCTTCCTCCTCCTCCTCCTCCTCCTCATCGTCCCCCAGGACCCCTGGCTGGAGCAGCTCCTGCTCCTTGAGTAGGATTTCCTGCAGGACGTCTGCACGGGAGCAAGAGGAGGCGCCATCTGGGCATCTGGACCCTCCAAACCTCTCTTGCTCACCTTTGGGAGGGGTGACAAGTTCAGATGGGGTGGACCTGGGGAGAAGACGGTGGGACCCGGAGTGCTCCCTCTGCTCCCCTGAGTGCCAGCTCAGGCAGGAGGGCTGTTGGGGTGCAGGACTACTGCACGGCAGGACAGGGACCCGGACCAGGAAGAGGGCCCCAGTAGTTTGGGGGTAGGCATCTCAGGGGCCTGGGCTGGCTGCTTACCAAAGCTGTCCTGGTTCCAGTTGTAGGTGTAGCACCTGGCAACAGGGATGGGAATGGTGCGGAGCTTGCCGGGTTTTGCAGTGTCTGTAAGAAATGGGGTGGGCAGAGGGTGAGGCCCAGGAAGGGGCCTTGAGAGTGGCCGGCCCAGTCCCCTCATCTGAGAGAAGAGACCAGGGTTGGGAGAGGACAGGCCTAGGCCACCAGGCTGGGTGGAGCGAGGCTGAGTGGGAAGCTGGGAGCCTGGCTCACAGCCAGAGGGCCGCATGTGGATGCCGCGCCCTTTTATGAGCTGTGTAAGTATGTGAAGTCACAAACTGTGAGCCTCATTTTACAGGGTGCAAACAGGAAAACAAGGCATTATCTCTTTGGGGGTGTTGTGAGGAATACTACGCCCTCTCTTCCCTGGCAGTGGAGTCATAGAGAGGAAGTTCCCCAAGTGCCTTGGGGGGAGTGAGAGGTGTGGCCACGTGACTGAAGTGGGCCGAGGGGACACCTGCAGCCCCGAGGCTTGCAGCTTCCCTATTATCTTCAACGTAAAGAGAAAGACCCTTGCCCTGGATCAGCACATTCCTTTTCTCTTCCCACAAGCCGCCACATGATGGCAGCCCAACCCTAAGCCTGCAGGCAGGAACAAAGCCCCAGGGTGGGGTGGAGCAACGTGGTCCCTGAGTGACTGTGCGGAGCAGAGCCGCCAGGCTGACCCGGCCTGCCCACTGTGGGAGCCAGAGTAGACGACGGGAAAGTGGGCCCCACTATTCCGAGAGCCTCACCTAAGACACCAGGGAAGCCGGCTTTCTCTGCCACTGCCCGCAGCTTGGTCCTGAGCCACTGCTGGGCCTCGGCTGCATCCCCGATGCCACATGCCAGCTCCTGTGTCTCTGCAGTCTCTGTGAAGATGTCCTCGAGCTCGGCCAGGGTCTTGGACTGAAATCCCAGGAGGAGAAAGGCATCTTCCCATACCACAGCCTGGCTGCCTGACCTCCACTGCCCAGGGAACCAGCGAGGGCGGCAGTGGCCAGTCCCCTCTCCAGCCTTGTCGTCCATCTGCATCCAGAGACCAGGGAGCCAGACCTGCCTCCAACCCCTATCTCAGGAAGTGGTCACAGGAGAGCCCAGAGCCGGAGGCACTTCAGAGCTCACCTCTGCTGCCCAGAGAGGGGACGGGGCTGTCCAGGGCCACATGACTGACCTGTCACAACACTAGGACTAGAACCCAGGTCTTCCACCTGACATCTGAACCTTGCTCCTCTGAAGCTCTTTGCCCACCTGCCCTGGTCGGGACCCAGCACAACACAAACCCTGTCGACAAAGCCAGCTCTCTGGCCCCTGCTCGCCCTGACCCTGGGAGCAAGGGAGGCCCGTAACCTGGAGACTGCGGTGCTGAGTTGGAGCAGAGAGGGGACTCTGCCTCTCGGGAGATGTGTTCTGCTACAAGGGGGCCGTGCTCAGCCTCAGGCCCCAGACACATACCTGCAGCTTGCCGTGTAGACCGGGGAGGTCACAGTGGGCCCCGAAGGCAGCCTGGAAGGCGTGCAGGACCAGGGTGACGTAGGCACTGTGGGGCGAATGGCCGGGCGTGCTCAGCTTGTTGGCCACGGCGAGGAACTCTGCCTGCACCTCCACAGGGTTCAGCAACAGCACGGTGCTGGGGGCGCAGAGGAGAGGCTGTGGGTGCGGGGGGCACACCCACCCACTTCACCAGTCGTGCTGCCCTGAGGCAGGGCCTCCTGCGGCCCAGGCACCGCCCAAGGCCAGGAGAGGGCCTGGGGGCTCCAGGGACCCAGTTCCCACAGGAAAGTTTAGGGTCCACTTGAATACTTTTCACCCAGTGTTTTCAAAGACCTTTTAAAAACTGAACTTAATTAAAAAAAATAAATTTACCCTCATTTTTATATAAACATATTTTTCTACAGGATATCTCAATGAGTTGAAGATGACTCAAGAGAGGACTGTCTTTTAGGTGAGGTGACTTGAAGCCAGGAGGTCACTTAGGGGAGGGGGCAGGGGGCAGACACGTGCTGTGGCGCAGTGTGGCCTGAGATTTCCGTCCATGCCTTGCTCCTCAGGCCAAGGGGGTGTGACGAGGGGAGGCCTCTGCCGGGCGGGAGGGGAGCCACACTGGGGCTGCGTCTGAGCTCTCCACTCCCAGGGGACCCTTTTCCGACCTGCCCAGGCCTTCACACAGGCTCGCTCGGGGCTGGGGTGTGTCCAGCCAACTCGGCTTCTCCTCCCACTACACGGGCTCCTCCCTGGTGCCCGTGGGAAACTGGGTTCATTATGAAAATCTCAAACACACACAAAGGTTAAGAGAATGTGAACCCTAAGGGTGCTGATCACTTGGTTAACGGTTGACAACACAAGACTGTTCTCACTCCGCCCACACCAACACTCATCACTGTGTTTTCTCGAAGTATATTCGAGCCATCACGGCGTTATTCCTGTAAAAGCTTTAGTGTGAATGGCTCACATTCACTATTGCTCTCTCTCAAACCTGCGTTGTGTGTAAACCCAGCGCAAAAAGACACGGGGCAAGTGACATGCCCTCTGGTCTCTGTGGGCCTCTGTCCCCGCACTGGCCCTGGGCTCAGGACTAGGCTCTATCAGTCACCACCTTTCGGGGAGAAGCTAATTTTCATTTCTCTATTTGTAAAAAAACGGGGCCAGGCTCACGTAAGCCGCCCCTAATTGAGCGCACCCTTCCCCGAGGGCAGGGCAGCTTCTTGCACAGACACGCTGAGCCCCCGTGTGCAGGAGCAGAGCAGCCGGGCCTGTGCCCACGCTGCCGACAGGCTCCCTCTGCTGGACCGGTTACCATCGTCCCCAGCTTAGAGGAAGCAGAAGGGAGACCATCTCTCAGCACTGAGACCTTCCACGGACCCCTCTACACCTCAGCATCCTGACCTTAAAAATACCTTGTCCACGGGTTCACAGGAGAATTGGATGAAGCAGTGATGCCAACAGCGGTGCCCAAAGCTCAGCAAGTCCGCAAAGATGTGGCGCGTGCTCACCAGCCGCCCGCCTTGGCCCCCGACCCCGGTGTCTCCTTCACTTACTGAACTAACTTTCACTGAACAGTTTTATGTCCTTCTGTCTTTCTCAAAACCTAACACTGGCTTGTTCGTTTGTTTGTTTTTACCTACAAGGGATGCAACACATGTTTTCTCAACAGTGTGAATGCGCAGTGGCCCCCAGGGGTTGAGGATGGGGAGGGACCAGGGTGACTTTAATTTCTGCTGGTGGAGGCTGGAGTCTCAGGGCTCCCAGGTGTCCGGGTGACACCAGAGACCTGCTGGAGGGTCCTCAGGACCGAGGCTTTTTCTGGTGTTTGTCAAACTGCAGGCCAGAACCCATGAGCGGGTAATGGAATCAATGTGGGGAGTTACAACCAGAACTGCCTTTTAAAAAAACAGCAGAACAAGACAGAGCCCATCCCCTGAGGTCAGGAGAAGCTTCGCTTCATGAAGCCTGTTCCAGCTGGTGTGCAAGTGTGTGTATGCATGCCAGCCTGTCATAGAACATGAAATTTTCATGTAGTTCTTAACCTTTTTTTTTGTCTCAAACTTATTTAGGAATCAGATGGAAGACCTGAGCCCAGAAAAGTGACTCTGTACTGAACATCACCGGCAATTGCAGGGGGATCCAGGTGCCAGGGGTGCAGCGACAGAGGGCCTGCCGGAGCACAGGCTGGGGCGGTGGAACCGTGGAACTGTGGGGGTGGATCCTGTCCCCGCACCCACCCCCACGCTGTGGCGCCCTCCCCAGGAGGACTCACACAGTGGAGCTGCGCTGACTCCGAGTGGGCAGACCCTGCTCAGCCCTCACCAGTCGCTGGTAGGAGATTCCTGTGGCCAAAAAGAAAAGAGCAGAGTTCATAGGTTTGCCTGTTCCTTCAGCAACCACGGCCCCGTACCTCACAGAGAGGCTGGCACTGCGCAGTTTGGCTGGGGGTTCCTGGTGAGGTTCAGGACAAAGGGCAGATTAGGCCTGAGGCCCACAAGGCCTTGGATCCACGCCAGGAGTCCAGGCCCCACTGTGGCTGAAGCCACTCACAGAGCTTTTCCCGCGGAGACTGTGCAGATGGAGTGCTGGTGTCCTGCGGGGGGTGTCCAGGCACCCCTCGGACTAGTCAGTCAGTCTCAGCACCTTCCACGGCTCTCACCTGTCCCTCAGCATCCCAGCCTGCCTCCCACGACTTTTCAGGGGACCTCGGTCCTGCCTGCTGCTGTCCCTTGAAGGTGGAGCCTCAGCACACGAATGTCCCCCAGCCTTCCTCTCTGCCCTCAGCCACCTTTCTGTCCCCTCTGACTTCAAATGTGCAGAGAGAAAATGAGCTCAAGGTTTTCCGTGTGTTACTGCAACTTGGCTCAGCTCTGCAGCTGGAAAACAGAGCCTTCGCAGGGTGTGTTCAGTTCTGCATCGGCCTCAGAGATGGAACATTCTGCCCTCCACACCGACAAGCGTAACAGAAGCAGGCAGCCTCCCTGTCAGGGCAGTGCCACCCTGGACCGGGTGTGAGCTGGGTGCCAGGAGGCAATCCCTGCGGAAAGTGTAAGGCCAAACCTGGGGTTTCAGACAGCTGGAAACATCCATGTGTGCTTGACTTTCCTTTAAGGGGTTTAAACCTTTCATTCCCTAGTCAGAGACAAAAAGTAGATGATGCAAATGTTTATGATCAGTAATGTCCCGAGAGACACTTACAGCCATTGAAGGCTTCACAATTCACCTGCTGCCAGCTGACAGGCAAAACCGACCCCATTCAGGTTTGCTCCTGATTGGCAGAAAGCCCAGGTGGGGAGGCACTGAGTGAAAGGAAAAGGGGCAGAGGAGATCGGGACGTGCCTGGGAGCCAGGGTGGCCCCTGGCCTTTCAGTCACGCACAGTCACCTGCCAGTGACCTGCCTGGGTCTTTTGGTACAGACAGCATCATGCAATGTGAGAATGTGGTTTTTTGAGTCAAAGAATATGGTTTTTAGACTTGAGCAGACAGGTTCTGGTAGTAGAGCTCTTGTGAGCTACATGACCCTGGGCAAGCTACTTAACATGTCCAGCCTTCAGCTGCATCATGTGAAAGATGAAAATACTAGCACCACCCAGGAGGTGTTCTGAGGGTGCATGGGACCAACACTTAGCAGTGTTTGATGTACTTACTGTAAGCACACAGGTAATGCAGCCATTGCCATCACCACCACCGTCATCATCATCAATTATAGTCTTACTTTTGACAAGGAGAACTTACGTAACCTGTCCCAGGTCATCAACTACTAAGTGACATAGGTCTTTGTCACACCAAGGCCCGTGTTTCTTCTCTCACATTTGACGTTATAGGTTGGGCAAGAAACATTCAACTTCTCTGAGTCCTGGTTGTCTTGTGTACAAAATGGGAATAACCTTGCTTTTCCTTCTCACTTCACAGGGCTGTGATCTGGGTGAGATGCAGTCACGGAGGCTGGTGAACGGAGTGACTCACACATGTGAGGCCCACCGTCACCCTCAGGCTTGCAGATAAATTCTTTGCAGGCAAGAACTGTGGTCTGCACAGCTATGCAGGCATGCAGTAAATAGTCAACAAGCATGTGGGCTTCACCCCAGAGGGCTGTGGTGGGCAGGACCTGGCGGCACTGGCGTGAGGTTTCCTGCCACCCCCACAGTGGAGGCAGTAGGCACCCAGTTGGGGGTGGAGTCAGGAAGAAGGGGGAGGCCCGAGGCTTCACACCTGCCCACTTCCTCTGCTACCCAACCACATCAAAGTGGAGTAAACTGTTTAATTCATCTCCATAGTAACTGGCTCTCTAGGGCTCCCTAGGGCTCCCTGGGTGGAGGGGCCAGCTTGTCATCTCCCTGTGACCTTGCCAGGACTTCTCTCACAAGCTAAAATCACCCCAAACCCTCCTGGCCAAGCGATGTGAAATCAGTGTTGGTCAGCCTTCGTCCTCACAAACTGCTCTGAGAGGGAGATACTATCATCCTCCCATTTTATAGACAAGGAAACTGAGGCTCCCCTAAGTAAAGCATCTTGCCAACAGCCCCAGAGCCCCAGCCTCTCCTCCGAGAGCTCCCTCCCAGCCTGCATTCTAGCCCTTCACCCCGGTTCCCTCAGTGCCCCCCTCAGCTGGGCTCATTTGGGCTGGGGCCCTCAGCAATAAGGCAAAACTATCATCAACATGCCTCTGCAAGATCACACTCCAGCACTTTCTGAGAAGCCCACTTAAGGCTCATGTAGGTGAGAGTAATTTTGTTTAGCTCACTATTTGCTGTGGATGAGGGCTCAGGTTCTGTGAAGTCAGAGGTTCATTTGTGGATGTGGGATGAGTGATTTTTATTCCCCACAAAAGATGACCTCAAAGGTTATAGTTTGATTGCCCTATATGATATCAACTGACTTGAATCTAATTTTGCAACCTTACTCTAGCTTCTATGAGAACCTGATTTCTGTCTCTCAGCGCCTCCTCTGCACCAGCTCTTCCCCCTGGCTGGCTCCCACGGGAGAGAGCTGCCACACCTGTGACACAGACTCTCTGTGCATTTGGATGAGAGTTAGGTGTGTTCATTGTCTGAGAAGGACTCTCTGACATGAGGGAGAGTGAATGGTTTCTTGTTTCAGTTCTGCTTTCCCGGGAAAGGGAGAACTTCGTGGTGCAGGCAGCCGGGCCTGAGCGTCCCTCTCCAGACAGTTAAAGAGGAGACCTCCAAACCCAGAATTCATGTACAAAAAATTGTGTACTTATTCTTATACATGTAAACTTCAGTCACCTTCAAAGGACTCTCCATTTGATGCAATACACCCATCAAGACATTTTTTCCACCGTTCAAAACAGTTTTTGACCTCCTCAAATTTGATGCCTTTTAATGCTTCTGCCATTTTTTTTGTTTCACCTCTTCCACATGGGCAAAACATTGCCTTTGAGGACTTTATTCATCCAGGAAACAAAAAAAGTCACTCGAGTCAAGATCAGGTGAATGGGGGTGGGGGGGATGGGGGTCATGCGGTTTTTGGTCAAAAACTCCTGAACACTGAACACTCAGCGCTGTGTGGCCAGGTGCACTCATAAATTACTCATCATAAAATGGGCAAACAAGTTAAATCTTTAAAAAAAATTCACTGAAGCCCAATGCAGCCTCTCACAACAACACCCGCTGATGGATGCACTGGTCCAGATGGTTTCCTAGAACATTCACCTAGTCAGAGAAGTCTGTACTGCAAGGGGCCTGCCCTCCAGAAGCTAATTCCAGGTTTTCTTGGGTCCCTCTCATATTTGCCTTCTTCTATATCACCAGCATATCTGAAGCCTCACATGGTCTCTGGAGCCACGTTCAAGGAAGGCCCTCTGTAGTGAAGGACAAGAGTTCCAAGTGTCCTCTCTGTTCTGAGTCCAACTCCAGTTGCTGCTCTGCCTGGCTCTTGTCCCCCAGGCTTAAAACACCACATCCCCGAGTCTGGGCCTCACCACAGCCCACCCCTCTGCTCCACACATGTTCGCAGGGCTTCCTAGAACAGGTTCCTGCTCAGCTGCCACAGAAACAACTCCGGCAGAGTGCATGCAGCGCGGGAGAGCCAGCTGGTCCCACTTGAAACTGGGAAGCAGGCTCCCCACATGCAGGTGACAGCCTGCCCCCAGCCCAGCGTATCTCCCTTCTCCATTTCAAAGTAAGGAAGAGTAATTGAAATGTCTGGTATAGACCGAAGGCCCTGTCTGGCACTTGCATTTAAATCTCTTCTGTCTAAATTATAAACAGGAAGAAGACTGCATTCTTATTAAAGGAATTCTGGTCAACCCAGAAGTGATCTAGATCCACTTGTTTCGGGGGAACAGCAGGGAGGATGATTTGATCCACTTGATTTGGGGGGACAGTGGGAATGAGATTAGCCTTAAACTCATTTGCTCACTTAGGGTGCCTTGAAAAGTTCGGCTGGCAGTTTCTCGATTCATCATGTGCACAAGCACCTTTCCTAGTTTGACACCTTCTCTTCAGGGGCTTCCTGATTTCTTAATTCTTGCACCCAAGTCTCTCCATGAGGTGAGGTCCATGTAATCAGTAGGCGTGTCTCTGCTCTGCTCTGCTCTGCTCTGGCACACGCAGCTACCTGGCTGGGGGCAGATGGGGCAGATGGTTGGCTGGGGAAGGAAGGCATGAACCCTCGAAGGCATTTAAAGACAGAGCTTCAGCCCTGAGCTTTCTCACAAATTGTTGGGGAATAAGACTTGCTACTTCTGTGTGTGTTTGATGTGTACAAGGAGAATTAAACACTGTCAGTGCTAAATAGGGCCTGGTGTACATATGGATTTAAAAGGAAAAATGGGATTACAACATGCATAAAATTTGGGGGCCTGCTTTTTTAAAAACTCAAGTTACCAAACATTTTTTGATCTCAGTAATTATATTTCTGTCACTTTTAATAATAGACTAGCATTTTGCCAAATAATTTGCTACAGTATACTCAACCTAATTCAGTATTTAGGCTTATTGAACTTGGTTTGTTATTAGAAAGAACACATTGATGAATATCCTTGTGGGACAATCTTTGCATAGCCATAACTGCTCAAATTTCTAAGAATGGAACTGCTGGGCGAAAGGATATTCTTTTTAATGTTTTAGAGAATGTAGCCCCCTTTTCCTGAACAATACTGGTACTTGTTTTCTTTTCTTTGCCAATTTGATAGGGGAAAATGATGTCTCACTGTTAAGTTTTGCATTTTCTGTATTACTAGTAAGGGCAATTGTTTTGGGGGTATTCCTTGGCTGTTTGATTCTTGTTGATGTACTTAAATCATGTTCTTTATTCATATTTTCATTAGCATATTTGTTTATTTTTTTATGCTCCCCAGAAGACATTTTTTTCATTGCTTTTCTTAGAGAGAGGAAGGGAGGAAGAAAGAAATAGAAACATCACCTGGTTACCTTCTTATACGTGCCCTGACCAGGGATCAAACCTGCAACTTAGGTATATGTCCTGAGTGGGAATTGAAACCTTAACCTTTTGGTCTACCAGACGACCTCCAACCAACTGAGCCACACTGGCCAGGGCTATTTGCTTAGTTTTAATCAACTCAAAAGAACTCTTTATGGGTTAGAATACTATTAATTTTTATTGAAAATATTTTTCTTAGTCATTTACCCTTCATTTAGAGTGGGATTTGCCATATAAAAAGCTTTAAATTTTATGCTCTCTTATCTGTTTGCCTTTTCTTTTATAATTTTTGCCTTGAAGGGATACTCTACCTCTATTCTAGGCTCCTATAACCTATTTTTTTTCTGTTACTTTTATGCTCTTCTTTTCTACACTTAAGCCTTTAATCCTACTGTAAATTATTTTATAAAACACAATTTTGTTTTTTGGAAATAAAATTCTAACTCATTTTTTATGACCTCTCAATTATCCTGATACCATTTACTAAATAATCAATTTTTTCATGACTCGTTTGAGGATGCCACTTCGTTATATAATAATTTTTTAAGTATTTGATTTATTTCTAGTTATTATATTTTATTCCATTAATTTACATATTCTTTTGCCAATAATGGATAATTTTAATAACTATATATAGCCTTAGAATACCTTCAAAGACCTAGTAAGGAAACATTCATACGTATTCTTCTTTAAGAATACCTAAATAGGACTTCCGCCAAGATGGAGGTGTAGGTGGAAACACTGTGCCTTCTCGCACAACCAAGTTTAAAGACAACAAAGTTTTAGTAACAAAAAACGCAGCCAAAACACAGAAAATTGAACTGTATGGAAGTCTGACCACAACAAACCATTCAGCCAGACCTGTAAGAGGGGGGGAGCCAGGGGCAGAGCCAGCAGCAGAGGGGGGGAGGGTCAGGCAGGAAAGATCCCCGGACGGAGGTATGCAGGCAGCCATGGGTGGATCCCAGGTTTGGGGTAGCAACAGGCGGACCCAGTGAGGGTGCAAGGCAACAGGCTGACTGGGGTCACACATTCATGCGCAGACAGACCAGGCAAAGGAGCGAGCTTTGAGACAGACCAGGCAGGCCCCAGTGGCAGGAGGCAGCAGAGGCGCTATTGCCCCTCTTTGACCCTGCTCCACATACAGTGTCACAACCCAGCAACCTGGGCAGCCCCGCCCTGGTGAACACCTAAGGCTTTGCTCCTCATACGTAACAGGCGCAAACAGACCAAAACATGGCTCAAGAAGTATTCAAAGCCACAGAGCCCATAACTCTAAGCAACCAAGAAACAGCCAAACTTTCAGATGCACAGTTCAAAACACTGGTGATCAGGATGCTCAAAGACTGGTTGATTTTAGTCACAAATTAGAGGAACAAATGAAGGCTAAACTAATTGAAATGAAGGGAATTGCACAGGAAACCAATAGTGATGGAAAGGAAGCTGAAACTCACATCAAGGGAGTGGACCAGAAGGAAGGAAAAAAATGACCAAACAGAAAAATATGAAGAAACAAGAATTCAAAAAAAATGACAAGAGGCTTAGGAACCTTCAGGACATCTTTAAACACTCCAACATCCGAATTATAGGGGTACCACAAGGGGAAGAGGAATAGCCACGAGTGGAAAACTTATTTGAACAAATAATAAAGGAGAATTTCCCCAATCTGGCAAAGGAAATAAACTTCCAGGAAATCCAGGAAGCTCAGAGAGTCCCAAAGAAGTTGGACCCAAGAAGGAACACACCAAGGCACATCATCATTATATTAGCTGAGATTAAAATGAAGGAGAGAATCCTAGAAGCAGCAAGAGATAAGGGGACAGTCACCTACAAAGGAGTTCCCATCAGACTGTCAGAGGATTTCTCAAAAGAGACCTTGCAGGCAAGAAGGGGCTGGAAAGAGGTATTCCAAGTCATGAAATCCAAAGACCTCCATCCAAGATTGCTCTATCCAGCAAAGTTTTCATTTAGAATGGAAGGACAGATAAAGTGCTTCTCAGATAAGATCATATTCAAGGAGTTCATCATCACCAAGCCCTTATTATATGAAATGTTAAAGGGACTTATCTAAGAAAAAGAAGAGAAAAAATATGAACAGTGAAAGGACAGCAAACTCACAGTTATTAACAACCACACCTAATACAAAAGCAAACTAAAAGGACAGCTAGATCAGGAGTGGAAACATAGAAATGAAGATCACATGGAGGATTAGCAACAGGGGAGTGGGAGGAGGAGAAGGGGGGAGAAGGTACAGAAAATAAGTAGCATAGACAGTAGGTAGAAAATAGATAGGGGGAGGGCAAGAATAGTATGGGAAATATAGAATCTAAATAACTTGAGACGTGGTCATAAACTAAAAGGGGGGAACAGTGGGGGAGGGAGTGTGCAGGGTGGAGGGGAATGAAGGGGGGAAATAGAACAACTGTAATGGCATAATCAATAAAATATATTTTAAAAAAGAATACCTAAATATATAATAAATGCATAGATAAATACTCTCATAGAGTACTGCTTCTTTCAGATAAGCTTTATCTATTTTGTTAAATTTTAAAAGATGCTGTTGCTCTTTTGATTATGGTAACATTTATTTTCATAACACCTGATATTATTTTAACATTGATTCAATCTAGTAACATGTCTTAAATTATTTATCCTTCAGTTAAATTTGTTTTCTCTATGTAGGTTAGTCACATTTATTTTATTCACTTTGTATTTTTAGTTGCTACTGTAAATTGTTTTTTTCATATGTCTTCTGGCTAAGTCCCTTATTTGGCAAAGCTCTTGGCTACTTACTCATGAGTCCGACAGTCTCTGTGTGATGCTCTTAGTCTCAACAAATAAGCAGTGGTTCCATTTCTAGATATTAAAATTTCATTTTCTCTGGAAAAGGAAATATTCTTTTTTTTTGCATAGGCAAAATATTTATAAGCATGAAGAGGAAGTTATTGAGTTAAATGGAAATGTCTCTAGTATTTCACTGCGGGCTGTTACCTTATTAAGAACTCTTCCATATATTAATAGTTTCCACATATCAGAGGAGTTTCAAATATCAGAAATGGATGTGGAATTTTATCGAGTGTTTTAGAGGCACCTTTTCAGTTACTTATTGACTTTAAGCTACTGAGGTGCTTGACAAATCACTCTCATATCAGGGTACCTCTCAGTAAATCATACTTGACTCTGTTTTCTCTTGCTCTGCGATAGTGTTCTTCGACCTCTTTTTCTTATGTATCATAGCACCTACAATTTCTCAAGAATTCCTACTTGCAGACCCCACACATGAAAAGTGAATGTCAGGCCCTTTTCCACACTTGTCAAGGCGCCCATCAACCATCGACCTGTCCACTCCTAACGGCAGCCACCCTCCATGGCCAGAACTGAATCTACCCACACACACATTTCCCCATTTGCTCCTGAGGCAAAGAGAACCAACGAGGGTAGCCTCAGAGACCACTTGGATAACCAGAGCAGAGGCTCCAGCCACATGGTGGGGACTCCTTGCCCTGAACCCCTGCTCAGCTTCCCCTAAGAATTCCTCCTTCACTGACAACTCGTGTCCCCTGCATCCAGACATCCGGCACTGGTACACATACAGTACACGCAGCACTGGGAAGAAGGGGTGCCGGCGTTTTGAAACATGGGCAGAGATGAGTTGAAGGATGACAGGCAAGGAGGCTCATAGCCGAAGAACTGTTTCCAAAGACCTCCTGACTGCATGATCCCTGGTCCACGTGTAGCTGACTCAGCACCTACCTGGGGCCTTGAGTTCAGCATCGATGAAGGTGAGCAGCTCCTGGCTGATGCTGCAGTAAGGGACAGGCCAGGTCAGGAATCGGTGGTAGGTTTCGGCTGCTTTCAGAAGGAGATCTGAGTCTGGTGGGAAGTGTGGGGTCTGGAGTGGAGGGAGAGTGGCAAGCAGAGAAGTCTGGGTGAGAGAAAGATCACTGCTATTCCACAGTAGAACCTGCCACTTTTCTGGAATGTTCCACAAAGGGCACACATTTCCTGGCAGCAGTATGTCCAAGGACAAGGTCAGGAAGAACAGGGAATAACCCACAGGGAATGCGTGACACGAGGGCGAGACGGCACTGAGGGATGTCTCTACTGAAAGGGCGTTGTGCTCTCTAAGGGTAACCTGGTCCATAAGGGCAGCTCTCTGAAGAGCAGGAGGTCATCTGAAACGGCACTGTTGCTGCCTCTCTTTTGGGGAGTGGTCTTCAATGCCTCAACCACACTTACCCTTACTAGGGGGAAATGTTATTCTTTGAAGTGACTGACTCAATGTACGTGGGCTCATTTGATGCCACAGGTCTGGAGAACACGCAGTCATGACATCGGGTAAAATTGACCATTGGGGTACAAAAAGAGGTGGACATAAAATCTCCTTAACAGGGCCTCTCTCACAGCCTGCGAATGGGCTGCGGCAGCAGCTCCTCCGTGAGTGCCCGACATGCCGGGCACAGTGGCCTCCGCATGGAGTTACCGGGACCTCTGAAGATGGCCTGGCCAGCCTGAAGCCATCAGAAGGTGGACAGGCATCTCAAGTGTCACCGCTGGAAAGTTCCCCTCTCAGTGTTTATCCCCAGAGTTGGGAGGCTGTGCCTGCCCCAGGTAAGTTGTTCTTCTGTCTCCTCCCCCAGCTGCCCCAGCTGGCGCAGCCCGGAACTTACGCAGAGGACAGTGGAGTAGAAGAGCAGGGCCAGCGGGGGGAGCAGGTCATAGGTCCCCTTCTCTTGGACCTGTGGAGATGACAGGAGAAGGGGTGAGGCTCCTTCACGGGGTGCAGAACAGAACAGCGCTATCTTGTTCTATTCTTTTTTAAGTGAAAAGCAATGTAACCACAAGACAAAAATCTGGAAAATAGAAGTTAGGAAAAAAAACCACTCACAATGCCCCACTTCCAAACTCAACCACAGCTAATGTTTCGACACGCTTCTTCTTACACCATCTCTCTTTTCCCTCTGCAGAGCTGTAACCGTTGTGTGTGCATTTGTACTCTTAATGTCTTTTACGTACAATGTTACAAAAGAATTTCTGTTCTGTCACTTGGTCTCTAAGACCACCTTTTGCTCCCCTCCTGGTTGTACATTTACCCATTATTTATATTATAAATATGTTTTCCAGTCTGTTGTTTGTCTTTTAAAGTTATGGACTTATTGGATGTCTGTAAATTATAGGTGCTATTTTTTTCCTTCATGGATTTCTGGTTTGTTGTGCAAGGATCGCATGAATACTCTTATTACATATTTTCTTCTTTTCTTTTAAGCTTTATTTTCTTAAGTTTAAACCTTTAATACACCTCTAATTGCATCTGCTATATGGTATGAATTAGGATTCTCACTCTGTATTTTTCCAAATATTTAATCAGTTTCCCCTAAACCATTTAATAAATATTACTGATGTAATTTTTATTATATACTAAATTGTGTTAATATCTTTGGATAATACCTATTATTTTTATTAGCTGCATAATATTCCTTCTGGTAGACTTCCATAATTTATTAGTTTCATTTTAGATATTTGAGATTATTTCTTGCTACTTACTGTAATTACTTTTGCAATAAAAACCTCTGAGAAAATTTCTTTTTCTATGATTTGAACAACTTATGTAGGATAGAGCTCAAGAAGTGGAATCAATCAATCAAGATTATCAAATATTTATGATCTTTGAAACATACTAAGTGCCTTCCATAGGATTTCGCCATTTTTAATATCTTCCATGTAAGAAAGTATCAGATCAGTTTCACTATATTCTTCTCTGCATTGCTCACAATTTTTTGCTAATTTGCTAGGCAAAGTCTGTCTCAATATGGTTTAAATTTGCATTTATTTTATTACCACTGGGGCAACATTTTCCCATATATGTTTACAAGCTCTAGTTATTCTTTTGTGCATTGTCTCTTTGGCAGAGCTCACTCCCCACCCTGTGTCTGCACCTGTACACACGTGATTAGAATTCTTGGGTCTCCCAGCCCACCTCAGAACTCAGGGGCCAGAGACGCAGGGAAAACCTCCATTTCTGCTGTGTCTGCTGACCTCGCCGGGCTCACACTTAAAGTCCTCCCTTCCTTTATCCCGAGGAGACCGCGGGTCTGCTCTACTCTCTCCCAGCGGTGGTTCAGCTCTCCTAAAGGCACTGGGCAAGGGTGGCACTAGAACTGGGGTCTCGGGTGTCTTGATAAACCAACACTTTCTTCTGAGAGGTAAAGGGTCAGCTAACTGGGAAAGTCAAATATGTTACAACTCAGTTATAAGAGGCCAGAATCATCGTTAAGGACTCACAGCTGTTCTGGAAGCCTAGCCCCACTCAGCACACTGTTCCACTCGGACATAAAAGCCTATTTGCTGAACAGTTAGAGGAAGTCTCAGTTTACCTCTCTAATAAGTTTTCTCTCTGTGTCTTTGTTTTTATGGATCTTTTTGAGGAAAGAAACTCAGTAAGTCTTACTCTGTCCTTTCTGGTCAATACCTTGACATATAAGCAATGTCTGTCTTAAAAAGCAGCTTCCAGGATGCTGGTTGACGTACCACATGTTCTCAATGAGAGGACCACATCCCCTCCCAGAAACCTGAAATTTGCAAGCACAGCTGAAACAGAGAGCTCGCAGGGGCCCAGAGCCTGTACGCGGCCCCTTGGGGGCCCAGGCACCCCAGAACTGGCACTCTGTGAGGACCTCTGTCTTGACTCCGCGAGGCCGGTCCCAGCTCTGCCCTCACCTCTCGGGTTTTCTGCAGGATCTGTTCCAGGAGGATGAGAAAGTGACCCGGGTCCCTGCTGACCAGCTCCTGTAGGCTCCAGCAGTTCAGACACAGCCCGGCTGCAAAGGGAGAGGCCAGTGGTTACTCTGGGGGTGGGGAGCGGTGGGGGCCTCTGGGGCCGCACTGGAGCGTCCCTTTGTGAAGGAAGAGTCTCAGAAAATTCTGGATCAACACTCAACCCTATCATGACCCATTAAGAAGTAGTGACAAGTTTCTTATTCCTGGAAGCTCAAGAGACACTAAAAAAGGCTGGGATCCCCTTCAGAGGCCAATGACCTGCCATGATTCTGGTCCCCGTGTCTCTGGAGAGCACCCTGGCCGTGGTTCCCACAGTAGGTGCTGGAACATCCGAGATGCAGGCAAGAGGGCAGAGGCGGAGACTGCTGGGAGACCAAGGAGAAGAGCCAGGGCAACCTCACCCCCAGCCAACACAAAGCTGAGGCTGTGGCAGCTGCGGGACTTCCCGGGCCTGCCTGGGATGCAGCCCAGGAAGGGGAAGCTATGTTCACTCACGTTTTGAAAGCTACAATGAACGTTTTGTCACTCTGACTTCCCCCGACTTTCTTATTTTGCCAGTGCCTTTTTTTCTGAAGTCAGCAAGGGCAAACCCCTAAAAACTAAAGGGGTGGTCACAGAGATCTCTGAGCATGTGTGAGTGTCTGTGTGTAGTGGGAATGACAGCGGCAGGGGCAGAAGTGGCCCGGTCTTGAGTGTTGTGGAGCCACAGGCCCCTGCTGCGCATGGAGGCTCCCAAAGTCCAGGAGGCTCCTCCCCATGTGTCTCATGTGGTCACAGGTTTTTGCAAAATTGTAAAAGTCAGATACTTTGCATCAGTTTACCTAATGATGGCCCTCTCAATTCTGTAAGCTTAAGCTCCACCGAAATCTGGGTAGAAGGCAAGAAGAGAAATGCTTCTTCAATGTGCTCAGCCTTCACATACACCACCTCCACTGAGTCTCCCATCCTCCCTTCAGGAAGCTGGTTCCTGTTGTTATTATTCTCTTTCTACAGACAAGGCAGGTGAGGTCCTGAGGGGTTCAGTGATTCACACGAGTTTACACAGCCACCGAGACAGACTTTTAGTCCAGAGCTGTGTAAAGCCAAAGGCCAAGGAAAGTCTCTCAGAGGAGGTGACTTTTGAACTGAGGCCTGGATAAGAAAGAGCCAGCTGTGCATGGTTCCAAGGGAAGAATTCCAGGCAGCAAGTGCAAAGGTCCTGAGGTAGGAAGGAAGCATGTATGTTCAAGGAGCAGTAGGTACCTCTCTCACGAGGTGGTTAGGGAGGCTAGTGAGATATGGGATAGAAAAAATCTTTATAAGCATAAGGAATTACTGCAACTAGTCACCAGACTTTAGTCACCTCCTTTCCTCAGTCCTGGGCAAGCATGGACCATGGAGACCCCCTGCTGCCCAGAGCTCTGCTAAGATTGTCCCTTGCTCTGTGGGGAACAGGACAAGGGGGCTGTGAAAGGGACTAGAAGCCAAGTAAACAGAATTCTAGGGACAGCTGTCTGTGAATTCACAGTTGCTCTTTTGGAATCAGCCATTGTGGTTGATTCAATAACTACTATTCAATATCTACAGCAGATTCAATAACTACTATGCTTCTAGCATATGCTAAGGAAGCACGATACAGACCCAAGAAGGACGAGGAAGACAGCATGGGAAAAAGGAGAAGCTGCTGCCAACCAAGGGCCTGCTCTCCACCAGCTACTGAGCCAGGCACCTGCCCAGGTGAGGTCCAGTCAAGGACTGTGCTCAAGTCACACAGAGTTGGAACCAGAACCTGCCAGGTTCCAAGGCTTGTCCAGTACTCCTTGCAGCTCTTGAGGCTTCCTTGGGCTTTTAAGAGCACTGCATTGTTCTCTCAGACCTACCTGACCAAGAGGTAGAGCGACGGGTGAGGCTGAGTCCATGCAAGCAGCGCTCCAGGGCATGCTGGATGCGGTCCTCTGTGCACGTCGTAGCTCCTGGCTGCATCCTGAGTCATCGCCTGTGCGGGAGACAGACTTTGGTCATCCTGGAAGCCCCCAGGTGTGAAGAGCACATGGTCCAGAGGGCAGATGGCACATACAGTGGGCACTCACAGCCCAGTGCTCTCAGCCTTGCTATTGCTTGGGTGCTGTGGGCACACCATGAGGGGGTTACTGCTGCCTCCAGCGCTGGCATGGCCCCTGGAGGCGCTGCTCTGGGTGGCAGGGGGTGCTCCTGCAGCCCAATAGCACGATGCTATAGGAAGCAAGGGGTCAGGGACAGGAGTGGAGAGGTACCTGGCCCCTGGCAGTGGTGAGTGTCTCCAAGAGCCTGGGGAGTGCTCTGGACGTGGCCAGACCCCCAGTAGGCCAGGCCGGGAGGACTTCAAGGGAAAACTCAGAATTGCTCCAGGGGCTTTTTCTGAATTTCTAGGCCTGCACCCCCCAAGTGTGGGACATAAGGGCTAGCTGGCCCAGATGCCTTCCGCAGATCTTCAACTCCACAGGCCTTCTTCCCTTAGATGCGTTTTATTTCCTTCCCTCAGGGCAGGTTTTTGGAGGGAGATCGGAGGCCACCCCCTGCAAGGCCCTCATTTTACAGATGGGGAGGCAGAGACCCAGAGAGGAAGAGGGGCTGCCTGGGAATGGGGCCAATCTGGGGGATCAACGCAGGTGTCTCCAGGCAAGGGTACCGAGTAGCACAAGCCAGGGTCAAGGCCCAAATCTGAGGACAAACAGTGCCTGATGACCTGTACGCTGAAGCTCAGGAGTCACAGTGAGTGTCAGGGACACAGCCAGCAACCACACTGGGGGGCTGGCTGGGCGTCAGTCCAGCGCCAGCATGGCTGCCCGCCCACCCCCGCCCCTGTCAGTACAAGAACACTGGGGAGAGAGGGAGGTGGTCAGCCAGCTCAGAGGGGCCTTAAGAGAATCCGGTATTCTGACTCCGAGGTGTCGGTGCTGCCGTTCGGCTCTCGGTTCACTCCCGTGAGGCCAGCACACCTCCTCCTGTGCTCCCCATGAGAGGAGGGGCAGAGGGGCAGCTGGCAAGCCCACTGCTGGCCAAGGCAAAGCTGTGAGCGCCATGCGCACATGTGGAGGTGCGGGGGTGGATACTAGGAACAAAAGCTGGACTTGAGTTGCTTTGTTGATACTTCTTCACCCTGGGGAGCCCCCAGCAAGGTAAGGGGAGCTTAGCAGTAGAGGCCTGAAGGCTGGACCACTTTTGGAAGTGGGGGCAGGATGAAGAGCTGGAAAATCTGTGGTACGGAGATGTTAAACCACAGACCCAAGGTTACACAGCTGGGAGGTGGCAAAGCCGGGAGAGGAACCCAGGAGGTCTGGCTCTTGACCACTCCCACTCCATCAAATGCAGTTACTAGTAGAAAAATATAACCCATCCATGCTTCTACCTCACAAGTGAAGCCTCAGTTAACTATGACATGATCTTGCTTTAAGTGACCCACACTCCCAGTGGCTGGAAATCCCGAGGCCACCATGTCTGTCTACACTGCTGCCGCCCTCCAAACTGAGGGCCAGGGCTCACAGCAGCGGCATTCTTGGCTGGCCTGGGCGGTGATCACAGTGGCCCATGGGGTCTCAGACTAGAGACACTGGAGACCTCTGGGCCTTCCCAGGGGAACTGGGTTTTAAGGGCGCCCTCTGCCCAGCCCTGCTGCAGTGGCCAAGTCCATTGTATCATGAGGTAAAAATGAGTCACCCTGCTCTGTTGTGTCACTGTAACTGATACCAACACCAGATGCAAATGAACTCTCAGCCAAGGCCCCCGTCTGCCTCACCGCCATCCTCAGGGGCTGGCACATAGCGTTCTGCAGGAGGTGAAAGGCTGCTCCCGCATCCCTGCAATGCCTGCTAGCCCGTGCTTCTCTCCTTCTCCAGGTGCCTGGGACCTTCCCATCTCCTGGCCTCAGTGTCCCCAGCTGTTCACGGGAGGGCACCAAGGCCATCTCCATGGACGGGCACTGGCAGAGCTCCCGGCATGCCGGCCTCCCTGGTGTCAGAGGCCAGCTGGAGCTTGCCCCAGCTCCTCTCAGAGGCAGGACCTGCCCAAGGCGCAGGGGGCTGAGCTGGGATGCCCAGCAGAGCTGCCCTGGGGGTGAACCCAGCTCCCTGCCTGGTCCCCTGGCACTCTCATTTCTGTCTTATGAGTCAGTCATCAGCCATTTCTTGTGACTTGTCAGCAGAACCCCAGTGGCTTTGGGGCAGAGATGAAGGGGGAAGAGAGTGGCATCCCTCTTTCCAGAGGGATGATGCCTTTTTTCAAAGGGTTAGCAAGCAAGGCCTGGCTTCCCCTGGCACTCCATTCGCGTCCCTGCTCTCCACCCAGCCAAAAGGAGCTCCTGTTGTGAAGCTCCAGTGGCTGCTGGAATGGGAATGCCCCCAAGTGGCGGTGGGGTAGTGTTGAAACACCCAGCAATGGCACTGGCCCCCACCTCCAAGTTCCTCTTCCGAGCCAGTAAGGATGAGTCTTTACTGGGGATCCTGAGCAGGACAGGGCCATGCAAACCAGGGGTCATCTTTTCTAAAGTGCCAGACCAGTCAGAGGGCCAGCGTGCGCCTGGGCCCAGCTTCCTGAGGCAGCCTGCACGGCAGGGAAGAGGGCCTCTTTCCTCGGGGAACGTCTCAAACAGTGGAGGGCCCCAACTCTTAGGGAGGGAAGCATGGTCCTCCGGGCTCTGGCGGGCACCCTGTTCTGCTCCCTTGCAGTTCTGAACAGGCCCGTGTTCTGAAGCCGTCGTCCTACAGGTGGGCATGAGACAGAGACGCCAAGGCCTGTCTGACCCCATCTGCTTAAGTCCCAGATCACTCCTCCCTCTCCCCCTTCCTTCTGTCCCCTGGGGCTTGACATCCCTTCCTGCCCCCAGTCCTCCCTCATAACTGCTGAGGGCAGAATCTCTTGTGAGACCTGATTTTAAAAATTCTAATTTCCAATACCAGAAGTATATACCAGAATCTAAAGACTGGGGTGAGAAAGGGGTGGAAAGAAAAGGGCAGAGGGCTGGCAGTGGGCGGGGAGGGTCCCCCCTCCCTGGGGGGTCCTTCACGCACTGTTCGGACTGGCAGGCCCACAGCAGTGCTCTGCATGCCCCCAACGACGTAACCAACGGGAACGAAACAGGACGTGGGGGAGGGCACACGATGGAATACAACAGCGACAAAGTCACCTATCTGTGTTAGAAATAACGTAACCGCACTGGAAGGGGTGGGGAGTGAAGGAACTAACCTGAGTAACTTTGGAAAATATCGTTTTGACCGGACACTATAAGGCTAAAGAAAATAAAACTATACACAAATACTGTTTTCACAGGGACGTGGGCCGCACAAAAATCCTGAAACTTCTTCATGTGGGTGCTAGCATGAAATGAAAAAGCAAATCTGTCCCAGATGATGAGAGCCAGTTTCTCACTGTTGGAGAAAGAAGTCACAAATAAGGAAAAAGGGGAAACCTAGAATGAACCCATCTCATGGTATTAGACTGGAACTGGAGAAATGAGTGTGAACTCATGGTTTTTAATGTATATACAGATGGATGTATATGGAAGTAAAAATGTGTACAGGCTTTGATTAACATGCATGCACATATTTTCTAGCTCTGTCTGCTGAGACAGCCTAGAAGCAACAACGTCCCAGTACCGATGAGCACACCCAGTGCCCGGAGCCTGGTTTATAAATAGCACTCTCTAATCAAAGGAACCAGAGCTCCCTAGAGAAATGGCCGATTCTAGCCCCGGGGCAGGAACTGTACACGACAAACCTGGAGCACCCTGTTGTGCCAGGAAATAAGTCAATATTTGCAAAAGGAGGAGGAGTGTCAAACAAAACAAATAATGAAAAGTCTACATTATTCTTATAAATAATAAAACAAAATAAAATAAACAGAGGAGAGGGAACAGGTCTCCTTTACAAAGGAAGTCCAATTAATAAATATGGGAGGGATGAGAGAAATATAAAATCACCATCAGGCAAGCACCACGGTAATAGTTTTGCAGGCAAGAGCCACCAATGAATGCTAAAATGTACAGGTGAAAATCTGAGCAGATACAGAATATTTGCATAATCTCAGAGTACTTCCCCCCCAAATAATGGATCAATTATAAAGGGAAAGTAATAATTTCAGAGTAGAGAAACCCAGCACCACCTAAACATCACGATCAAAGTCAGTATCACCACTAAGAAGACAGGTCAACATCATGACGCATCCCCGGATGCGATGGTCTACGAGGGACAGGACATCACTTCTGTGGGATGCTCCCAAAAACACGTAATCACAATCTGAGCACGAGAAAAGATCATTTGAAACCCAACTGAAAGAAATTCTACAAAATGACTGACCGGTACTCATCACAGTGTCAAGGCCACAAAAGATAAGGGAAGACTGAGCAACTGTCACAGATTGGAAGAGACTGAGGAGACACAAAAAGCTAAATGCAGCCGGGCTGGTGTGGCCGGGTGGATTGAATGCTGGCCTGTGAGCTGAAAGGTGTCCAGCTTGATTCTCAGTCAGGGCAAACGCCTGGGTTGCAGGGTAGGTCCCTGGTTGGGGGCATCAGAGAGACAACAAATCGATGTATTTCTTGCACATCGATGTTAAACAAAAAATAAAAATAAAGCTAAATGCAATGCGGGATCCTGGCCTGGATTCTGGAACTAAAAGGGCACATTTGCAGGCAAGTGGCTAAAATCCAAATGAAGTCTAGGGTATTGTGTAGTAATGGTACCAGCTGTTGCTTGTTTTGATAGCTGCACCAAGGTATGTGAGTTGTAAGCATCAGAGGAAGTTGAGGGGAGGGCACACATGGCTCTGAGACCCTTTTCATAGTTGCAAACCTTACATATCCTTTATATATCTTTCCGGGTGGTTATCCAATGCCTTGCTGCCTTTCATACACTTGTTTAAAGGTGCTATTTCCTGTATACTCATAGTTCCTAGTTACCCGTCAGTAGACTGGTGCCTGTCTTAAAATCCCCTAATTCGATATCCCTAAACTGGGGTTGAGGT